TATAATTAAAATTCCAAATAAAATTTTGAAATACATGTGCGATCCTTTTTTAACTTTCAATTTATAAGACTTTTGTTATTGAAAAATTTTAAAAACTTAAATTGATTTCTTAAAACATATATAAGGTACATGTCTTCTGCATGACCCTATAAATCCATGCATGTTTCAATCAGTGCAAGTATTTATTATTCTATAATTTGTGTTATTCTTATCTTTTACGTGCTAGAATTATATACATGATTGTACGCAGTGGACAATGTTTATATTTTTTGCGCCTGCGCAATGCAACGTTGTCAAGGACTTAGTCCTGCGACTAAGCGTATCGTTTACGACAAGACTTACGCCACTTGGTGAAACGCAAATTACGCCTGACTAAATTTTGGCGCAAGTCCCGGAAGTACACCTAAGTTAAGGCTTAAATCTACGACCTTTGATGAAACGGGCCCCTGGGGGATTAAGATTTAAGCCCCCTTCCAAACTCAGTAAACTTCCATTTCTGATCTGATATTTGCTTTTTCCTAGCCGGTGTGCTCAGGTGAGCGCTGTGGCCCCTGGGCCTCTTATGCCCTGTTCACACGGAGAGTTCAATTTGCAGTAAATTAATGCAAAGTAAACTAATGTGAATCAAATTAATGCGAATTAAATTGCGTTCACGTGACAGCTAATGTGAAGTAAACTAATGCGAATAAAAATTTTACTTCTGCAGTCAGGCGTCAGTAAGTCTAATGTGACGTCATTTGTAAATCACGTCATGCATGCAGAGCTATCCTTTGATACATCATGTAGTGGCTACAGCTATTCATTGATTTTAGTGATTAACATACTTTCCCTCAATTTTTTAACCAAATATAGCACAAATACCTATATCTAACCACCAACACGTGTCCTGTGACCTAATTCTGGCCTTACGCAAAATTTATTTCGAATTAGCTTCGCTTAGCGTTCACACGGAGCTAATGCGAAGTAATTTAATGCGCAGTAAACTAATTCGAATTAAACTAATTCGCATTAAATTCTCCGTGTGAACGCTAAGCGTAGCTAATTCGCAGTAACTTTACGTTTAATTCGAATTAAACTCTCCGTGTGAACAGGACATTATTCTAATCTGGCACCAAACAACGTTTAATACAAAATGTGCAAAATCAAAACTTTATTTAGATATGAAAATGAATTAATTCTATAAAGAAGTGTTTGTTTTAGAGGCTTTTTACAATGTCAACATAAATGTCACACATTGTCCAAAAGTAATAAATCTTACTATAATTGTATAAATTTGGTAACATTGATCATATGCGTAGTCATTGAAAATAGACATATTGAAAATTAAAGGATTTTTATGAAATGTGCATCTTTTCAAAAAGTAATTGGTATATTCCAAAATAATTTCAATAGAATGGTGTATAAATCATAACAAAAATTAAATGTCAACATAAATGTCACAGACGTGAAAATTTGGTGTTTTGACGAAAATAGGCTCAATGCATAAAATGTTATGTAAAGTGTCAATGTATTTTTCTCTCTCCAAAACTCACTCTTATACCAATAATGATAAATTAGGAGAATAATTCAAGTTTTAAAAGTTGTATTTATATATAAAGTAAAACATGTGCAGTGTTTACTTGTACACTGTATCAGTGTATATTATTGTCAGAATCTGTACAAAAGTTCCTATCAGAATTCGAATTAAGACACGAAAAGAAAATCAAACAAACCAAAATTGATGCAAGGATATGATTTCAAATTTGAATTAACTCACAGTAAAGTGTGTCAACTCTATTTCATGCTGGTATAAACCGTTCTATACATGGCGAGTTTACATTGAATAGTCCAAAATTGAATAAGGGGAGGGGGTTGTCGGAGGTGAGTACAAAGAACCAGAACTCTAACTCTTAATTCCCGCCTACATTTTGTACCCATTAAATTCAATTTTAATGGCAATTTGGCCATTAAATATTTATTTAATACAAAGAACAGTTCTATGGTAATTGATAAATCATTTTAATTCCAGCGCTAGATAGTAAATTATCATTAATTCCAGCTCTTGAAAAAAGGGGGGTTGGCGATATTTTCTTGTGAAATCGAACTTTCAAGAATCACCATATTTTGAAATAGTCTTGAATATGATAAAATGTATCTCAAATCTTTTCTTATGTTATACGCAAATAAATTAAACCTATTTAAATAAATAAATACCATTATTTAGTTGTAAATAGCTTTAAAATTGGTGAAAAATCAGCATTTTTTTCGTTTTTTGTCTATAAACATATGTCTCCCCCCCCCTTGAAACACAAAAAGCTTTGGCATGAATTTGTGAAATGACAGTCCATATTACCTGTAAAAAAGGAATTTTTGTTTCATGGGGGGGGGGGGATGTTTTTAAATATTTTCTGTTTTCCGTTGATTTCTATAGTGAAAAACACAAGTTTTACCAAAGTTATAGAGTTATCTCTCTTTGGTATCCCAAATTAGTAACGTTTTATGAAAATTCATATAAATATCTATAAAAATTTCGAAAATCATTCGAATATGTTAACTTTTGAGAATTGACTTAGAGGTAGGCGGGAGAACAGTGCTATCGTTCTTAGTTCTTTTTAAGATTTTCATTATAAGATGGGATGGGAATTAACAAATAATAATTCAATGCTAAATCAGCAACATATCTACAACAACAGGCACCTGACGTTACTTATTTTTCTTTTAATAAAAAAAAATATACCCTTACCTTATATAAGAAAAATAAGTAACGTCAGGTACCTGTGTCTACAACGTACAATTTACTTAAAACAAAGGACAGGGCATTGGTCAATTAACTTCCTTTCAACCCCTTATTCTAGACTCATTATATAACTAATCTTTATATTTTATCCATCTCCCAACCCTTTATAGTCGTCTGTACAAGTGATAAACTTGCTTGATTAGAATTATTTTTTAGATTACTGAAAATTCACTTCAATCGAGTTTATTGCCTGTAGAGCCAACTATAAATGGTTGAGAAATTGATAAACTATACATATTGGCTACATAATGTGTCTAGAATTAGGGAGTGAAAGGTAGTTGATTGACCAATCCTAGAAAGAGGAGAAATTTTCCCCAAGAGAGCGCAAAAATATTGCGCCGTAAATTGCACCTTTTGTGCACTACGGGATCCGTAGCGTTATGGTCAAAGACAAATATATAAAACCATAACGCTACAGATCTTCAGCTAATAAGATCCCTCACTGCTCAATGGCCAAAGGCGCCAAGTAAAAGTTTAAAGTTCTTCAACGGGCAAAGGTTCAAATGTTGTCTTCCTAGCAATTCTATGGGACATTAGAGCAAAGAAATAACAGAATCTTTAAAAGTCTAATGAAAGAAAGTCTGGACGTCCCTGGAAGCTGAATTATAGTGTCAAAACAAATAGTAAGATTTTAATTATAAACAATCTTTAATTAAACCAAGCATGTCTAAAACGAAGTAACTGTAAGTGTTTTACATAATGTCAAAAATAGGGTAGTTAAACCCATGCATAAATAGACATTTTCTGATTTCGCGATCTCGAGGCCGTTTTCGCGCATTGACTCTGACAGTTGTTTCAAACTTTTTAGGGGCCGTGTCAAAATTTGATTTATTTACAAACAACAAAAACACTGTTTCCTAGATACAACAACATAATATAAAGTCATATGGCGTATTTTCATAAGTTCAGACCAACTAAAATTAAAATGATCTTTCTCTGTGTTTTTGTTACTTTATATAAAGATAGGACTTTCCTGTAAATAATACAATTTAAATCGATCGCATTACATAGAAATATATAGTTAAAACAATAACCGAATGGCGATTTATTTCCAACTCGGATAAAACTATCACATCAAACACAGTTTAAAGTCAATTTAACCTACATGTATAGAAATATGGGGATGATATGTGGGTTCAAAATCGGTTGTTTTAATTCGAATTAAGATAGCAGATATTATCTTAATCTTTGTTTGATCTCATGTTTTACTTAAATTTAGTTCAGATACGCATACTTAAAATATTGCTTTATAACCTTTTCAAAACACTTTTTATACGGCCCCTTATATATCTGACTGGAAATGTCTATTAAGTACTATTACCAGAAAAGCTTCATGCGATTTAAAAATATGCAACATTATAAGCTACTTTAAAATACAATTTATTTATTATTGCAGATGATTGCATGAATGTGTTTGTGAAGACCATGGCTAACATCACCATAATGTCCGGTGTCTCGGAGAACTCAAGCGCCGTCCAAACTGTCGACACAACTGTACAGTCTAAAGACTCCATCATCGAAGACATCTGTAACAGGTTTATCGCGCCTGTCATCTGTGCCATCGGAATTGTAGGAAATATCATCAACTATGTCGTCCTTTCAAACAGAAGATTGAAAAAGGGTTCCTATATGTATCTGAAGGCATTAACTCACTTTGACCTTATGGCGCTGTTATTTTCAATTCCATACATGTTGTTTGGTGTTAGGAGCACAGATTATTTCTGGGTATGGTATTCGCTGTATATTTTCCTGCCTACAGTGAATTTTTTTACTACATGTAGTATATGGATTACGGTGGTTATAGGGATAGACAGATTTTTCTTTGTGAGGAATCCAAAATGGTCAAGGCGCAGCAAGTCCTGGAAATTAAAAACACAAATCAAAATTTCTGCAGTGATTATTTTTGCGACCATAATTTGCATTCCAAAATTTTTCTGCTACGAAATTCACGAAGAAGGAAATACGAGGGTTGTCCGAAAAGTTCGTGGACAATGACGTTTTTGTGAAAATGAATGCTTCTATATAAATCTGTTGTATATCAAAATATTTCTTATGAAAAAACAAGTCAGAATGATTTAGTTTTTATTGATGGAACGTAATATTTTTGTAAAAAAATCGGGGTCTTTAGAGGTCGCGGATAGTGCTCACGGACCAATGTTAAAATGATGTAAACTCTGATATGAAGAGTTCGGATTGAAATGATTATTTTCTATATAAAACAGGTCAAATATTAATAAAAATTTTATCTAACACTAATAAAGAGGTTATTATCATTTTATGATATCTTAAATATCGCTTACTTTATAGACAACGAAAATACACAAAGAAAACCTTTGCAAGTACGTGTCAAAACTCAACAGAAAAAGTGACGTCGTCCGTCGGCACGGGTCAGCGTCCGGTCAAAAAATTAAGTTTTTTAACGGTTGAAATGATGTAAGAGACAAAATATTTGTTAAAACAACTAAAAATTATTGAAATATATTGAATGTATCGATTTGGGATTCGTATATATGATTTTTCAACAGTGTGTACAAATTCAAAGACACTACAAGAATTTAATTACACATGTAATTAACTGTAAATGGAGATTTCTATTCATGACGTTGTTATAAATCTAACGCAGCGTCGGACTGGGCTATTCAGTTTGGGTATACAAACTGTTAATTTAGATGACGCTCGTAAAATTGTGTGCATTGTTTTGTATTTTAAAAATGAAATAAATTATAATCTATACTTAAAGATTATTGCTAGCACTTCGAAGTGCGTTGCGGCTTAAAAAAGAAATGTAGTGTGTGTCCATGAACATGTGTTAAGTCAAAATCCAAATGTTTGACGTTATAATGAAACTAGTTCTAATTGTAACGGGGACCGTTACAGATGTTCCCCAAACGCTCCCCAACTCCCTTTTGGTGCCATATTCCCTGTAAGCTTCACTAAATAAGACATCCTCACAACGTCAGGGGTCCTGAGTCAACGTGTTGACTCAGGACCCCTGACGTTGTGAGGATGTAAATAAGACAAAATCTATGCATTTGAGACTTTAACAACGTTTACCCAGAAGTGTACCAAGTTCATTCAAATATTAGCATTGCACGCGTGCGCATGTAAATGTATGTTCGTAATGACCGTATCATCTTGTCTATACAATCTATATATTTTAAAATACTAAATATTAAAGTTTTTAATCCAAAAGTATTAAAAAATACACTCATTCAAGTGTATTTTTGATTTTACTCATTTCACATGCACGCACGTGCATACATGAGCTTGGTAACCATATCTTCTTGTAGAAGTCCATTACATCTATCTATTTTAAATCCCACCCCGTTTGGTTGAAAACCAAGGGAGTTATAGCTGTTTAAAGTTTCAACCAATCAGATTGCAGCGCACGTACACGCATGTGTTTGCATGTGCATGGTGACTATATCTTTTTGTAAAAGTCCATTATATATCTATGCTGCACATCCCATCCTGTTTGGTTGAAAACCAAGGGAGTTATAGCTATTTAAAGTTTAAGCCAATCAGATTGCAGCGCACGTGCATGCACGAGTTTTCATGATAAATGCTATATATCATGTAGGATATCCTACTGCTTGGCTATGTTCAAAATTTCAAAGGATTTCGTCAAAAAACAAGAAAGATATTGAGACATTAGTTTCAGCCAATCAGAGCGAAGCGCACGTGCATGCGCGTGAGATCTTGTTATTTTGACCATGTCATATTGTCTATGCTACTAATATATCCTTATATTATGAGTTTCAAAGATTTTCATCAAAAATGTAAAAAGTTACGTCTATATCAATTAAATCGGTCATTTCTCGTGTTGCACGTGCACGCTCTTGCAAGCACGTGCACGCAAAATGACCTTCGTTCCGCAAATCTACATAACATGCCTACTGACCCTAAAAAGGTTTTACCTAAGTCGGATGTGTAGTTTACAAGATCACCCCCGGACAAAAAAGTACCCAGGAAGAAGAAGAAGAAGAACTAGATACGATCTCGTTGCGAGCAACGAGAGGTCTTCTGTCCGATTCAGGAAAAAAAAAAACCTCGTAAAATCGAACTGAAAAGTGTTTCGAAATTTTGGTCACAAGGAGGATTGAACCCAGGTCGCCAACGTGAATGCGCTTTTTTTTTCTCTTTTATCCCCAATGGGCAAACCATTAAGATATTGGGAACACTACTCTTAATATACTTGTGTATACTTTTGCAACAGTATACCTGTCTAAGAATTATAAAAGGCGGACCACTATTGATAATTTCGCGTCAAACGCCACGAGTAAATATTTGCGCCTTTTCTTTGGACTGATCTATTAAATAGGTGTGATATTTTCAATGAAAGTAAATAAATAAACCGTTCTTATCGCCTTTATTTTATTTCAACGTTAAGAAAGTTTATTTAACACATTGTACACATTACATATCGTACCCAGCCCAGTTACACTAAAGCAGTGAAACGGAAATTAAGTTTTAAGATTGAAACTGAATTGCAACGTACTACTACGTGAAAGTCCAAGTAGTTTTTCATATTTCATGTATCCTTATGTCAGAATGGTTTAATCAAACGCTCAGCTGCCCCCATAAACCCCTACTCGTGAAATGGCGGAGTTGACAGAGACGGCCGCCATCTTGGGTCCGCTTCAGATTTTCAAATATTAATATCTAGAGTTCAGATTACCCGATATTCAAACAACTTATATAGTAAACATCAGTAAAAGGGTCTCTATTAACATTCCAAAAATAACTGAAAAATATTGAAAAACAAAAATTCACATCTCCTAACGACAGGAAGTAATGACGACGAACGAAAGGTCGCGTCCTGGTAAGAATCTATCATGATCTATAATCCCTGAAAGTTTCAAATTGATATCTTTTACCGTTCTTGGGATTAACCACGGACAAAATGTCATTTTAAAATCAGGAAATGTCCCGTAACTTGGCACCAGATAGGAATTTTCAAAAAAATGCTCAGACAGATCAAGTTCATGTTACGACACATCTTTTCTGAAAATTTCATGTAATTCCATCCAATAGTCTTCGAGAAATCGCGTGCACAAAATTAGAAAGTCAAAAAAAAAATAAAAAGAATAATAACTAGATACGATCTCGTTGCGAGCAACGAGAGGTCTTCCGTCCGATTCAGGGAAAAAAACCTCGTAAAATCGAACTGAAAAGTGTTTCGAAATTTTGGTCACAAGGAGGATTGAACCCAGGTCGCCAACGTGAATGCGCTTTTTTTTTTCTCTTTTATCCCCAATGGGCAAACCATTAAGATATTGGGAACACTACTCTTAATATACTTGTGTATACTTTTGCAACAGTATACCTGTCTAAGAATTATAAAAGGCGGACCACTATTGATAATTTCGCGTCAAACGCCACGAGTAAATATTTGCGCCTTTTCTTTGGACTGATCTATTAAATAGGTGTGATATTTTCAATGAAAGTAAATAAATAAACCGTTCTTATCGCCTTTATTTTATTTCAACGTTAAGAAAGTTTATTTAACACATTGTACACATTACATATCGTACCCAGCCCAGTTACACTAAAGCAGTGAAACGGAAATTAAGTTTTAAGATTGACACTGAATTGCAACGTACTACTACGTGAAAGTCCAAGTAGTTTTTCATATTTCATGTATCCTTATGTCAGAATGGTTTAATCAAACGCTCAGCTGCCCCCATAAACCCCTACTCGTGAAATGGCGGAGTTGACAGAGACGGCCGCCATCTTGGGTCCGCTTCAGATTTTCAAATATTAATATCTAGAGTTCAGATTACCCGATATTCAAACAACTTATATAGTAAACATCAGTAAAAGGGTCTCTATTAACATTCCAAAAATAACTGAAAAATATTGAAAAACAAAAATTCACATCTCCTAACGACAGGAAGTAATGACGACGAACGAAAGGTCGCGTCCTGGTAAGAATCTATCATGATCTATAATCCCTGAAAGTTTCAAATTGATATCTTTTACCGTTCTTGGGATTAACCACGGACAAAATGTCATTTTAAAATCAGGAAATGTCCCGTAACTTGGCACCAGATAGGAATTTTCAAAAAAATGCTCAGACAGATCAAGTTCATGTTACGACACATCTTTTCTGAAAATTTCATGTAATTCCATCCAGTAGTCTTCGAGAAATCGCGTGCACAAAAGTTTGGAAAAAAAAAATAAAAAGAATAATAATAATAACTAGAAACGATCTCGTTGCGAGCAACGAGAGGTCTTCCGTCCGATTCAAGAAAAAACCTAAAATCGAGCTGAAAAAGTGATAAAAAAATGGTCTCAAAAAGGATTGAACCCAGGTCGCCAGCGTGAAAATCTAACGCGCTTTTTTTCCTCTTTATTCCAAACGCGCTTAAATTACGCTGTTGAGTCCATAGCTCTAAATTTACTTGTATATATACTTCTTCAACAATACACCTGTCTAAGAATTACGAATAACTTTCGATTAGCCCCCCCCCCCTTTCAATTTGCTTTCGACGCCCATGTGCAAGCCATTCATAATTTCCCGCATAACGTCACGAGTAAATCGTGGCGCTTTTTTTCTTTCGCTATTGGGAGTTCTGCTCTAAATGTACTTGTCTATACTTTTGCAACAGTTCACCTGTCTAAAAATTATAGAAGGCACCAAACGCCACGACTAAATATTCGCGCCTTTTCTTTGGACTGATCTATTATATAGGTGTGAAGTGACTATAATTTTAAACTTTTTTTTATCTTGTTTATCCCCAAAGTGAACTTTGCCGATTAGTTACACTTTCACAAAAAGGTTGAAATGGTTCGCCGAAAAACATGATTCACCCTACGCCAAGGTATCAGGTACCATTTATGTTCAATAACTTGAATCAGATTATTGAGAAAAGAATGTATATATAAACTCCATTAGACGATCTTATTTAAAAAAAGGTTTTCTTATTTCTGTCTTTTGTATTAGTTTAATATGACACAAGTGTGCATGGGAAACACAGTGGT